AGACCAGTTCTGGCTTCACAAGGTGCGCGAATGACCCAGGACTAGCTGTAGGTCAGGAATACAGGATTCTAACTCCACAGGTTTTCAAGCCCCTGTTGAGTTCAGTACTTGAAAAGAGCTATGACGTGGCACCCATGAACCTCACAGAATCAGCTGATGGACCGTTTCTTGCTGCTTTTTTTTTTTTTTCTATGAGAAATCTGGACTTCTGAAACTTCCTGCTTCACTGTGCTTGCAACATCTTAGAAAGAGCAGCAACTCTGGGTGAATTTCTAACACTCTGAATGCAACTGGCATCTCCAAAAACTCATAGCGTGATTTTGTTCAAAACAAGTCAGTGATGATGTGGCAGAATGTCCCTTTCTCTCAGACTGAGTGGTTGCATCTGTCTTACAGTCCTGGTTTATAGTAAACTAGTTAAGGTAATATTAGTAAAGATTCACAAAACATGTTCACATGCTCTTCACCCCGTATCCTCTGTAATTCTATACAAAGCGCATGTAACATATTTCTACCTGTTAAAAATCTAATTTTCAAGCTATAGTGGTTATTAAGGTGTGTTGAAAAATCTTGCAAGATATTCAGAGAAGCTTTTTGCGTTTTGCAGTTTTACATATGGTGATTGACAAGTCAAAATGGTCCTGAAAACCCTTGAATGTATTTGAGCAGTTAATGAGAACATATCAAGAAAACACAAATATGGTGAGAATAGTCAGAATTGCCTTATTTTTGTTATGTCTTTTAGAAAAGTAGAACAAGCTCGCCAACAACTTTATTAAAACTAGCTACACCAAATTTCTCTTTGAAGAGATCATTAAGGTTATCACCTACCCTGCCATCAAGTCAGAGCCCTCAAAGGGACGACATTTCTCGCGGAAGAAAGTGGTAAGTACAAAAGTCCTTCGTACACCTTTCTGCTCACCAATATACCTCAAATGTTTATGAAGGGCTTTTAGATCCTACTGTTTTCATCAATACTTTTCTTTAATATAATAATCTGCTTAGTGAAGCACGGTTATCGTACAGATTGCATTACGGAGAATTCCTCCCTGCCTGATTAGTTTCTTATTTGTGCCACAACACAAAAGAGTTTATTTCTTCAAATACAAGTGTTTTATTCTCTCTTGTATAATCATCAATATTCTCAATGTATCAACCTGCCTCAAGCACTTGCCCTCAAAGACATGCTGTGTCAGTGATTTCTACTGGGCCACACGAAAAAGTATTCCTCTGAATTTTTTACATTATAAATTTGAACTCCATGCACATTTTCCTCTACTATTCACTATGTTATTCTACCTCTTTCACGCCCTTTCTTAGCTGTTTATTTTATAAGAGGTCCTAGGTTTTTCTTATATAGGTGTTGACATTTTTGTTTGTTTGTGGATCCAGGTCAAAGTCAGTGAGCAGAGACATGTTTCATTGCTTAGCTTTGGATGACACTGAAGACTCAAAATACCAGAGTCATAGAAAGTACACCTATGCTGAGCTGCTTCCGGTAAGTACTGCTTGATTGTCTTGAATCATGGGTTAAAATACTTTATTCTGTAGTATTAAAGAGGAAGTAGTCAATGGGAGAGAAATGGGTCTGATTATGTGAATGTCAATGCTGCATGCAGAGGTATAATTGGAATGTCAACATTTTCTGTGTGGTATCTGTCACTTATTTGATAGGAGATCATGGCACATACAGAGGTTTATTTTGACTAGAAAGTGTTGATCTTCTCCATGGTGACCATGTGTTCAGTAGGCTATTATGGAAAACTCACTGGATAAATGCTACAGCAGAATCGTTGCCTAGGAAAGTATACCAGACTTACAGTGAAAATTGAATCTGCCCTAGAAAATCATTAAAACAGTAAAATTCATAAGAGGAAAATGCTTCACTTGTGCAATTCCTCTTTATTGCTTGTGTATTTGATTCTTTGTTGAATTATTGCCTGCTAAGCAGACCCTCAATCCAGCAAGCCTCAGAAGGGACAGGCTGCACAGAAGAGCCTTTTCTCAATAACTTAAAATGCTGACAAATTGAACATGTGAGATGTCAAGATTTGGCAACTTAAAACACACTTGAAACTTTTCATGTTTGTGGAATGGTCCTGAAACAGCCTGCTGTTTCACAGAGGTTTTGATACTCATGGTCTCACAACTGAAAAAACTCTCATGTTTTGAAATCTGGGCCTATTTACATATGCACGGAGTTTGCTGATCACTTGAAGATGATTGATTGTTTTTCACACCAAAATCATGCTTTGTGTATTACTTCACTGCAATCATTTTACTTCTTTGTTAATTTTGACAGAAGTAAAGGCTAGTCTTTGCAATTAGGGGACATTTGCCATTAGAAACTTATATTAAGGAAGTGTTCACAACATGAACTGTTAGTTTTTCTACACCCTCATTATGCAGATTTTCCCTCTGACTGAGGGAGGAAAATACTACACATTTACACATACAGGGCTAGACTGGAACCTACAGTCAGGACCCCACAACTTGCCATCACAAATATGATGCAAAGGGGAATGCAGGGATCCATATTTTAACTTCGTACAGAGGATTGGGATCTTCCTGCTTCAGAAGTCTGGCTTCCTCCTGCCCTTCTCCATCACTGTTACTGTTTGGAAAGAAGCTGGTTGTCAGCCACCACACTTACCTGCTCCCACTTCTGCTATCAGAGATGGCAAGTCAGCTAAAGTTTCTCTCTTGCGATCATCAGAAGCTAATTTAGCAGTTTGTACTCTTCTCTGGTTTCTCTGTGATCATTGTCAAAATGGATGTATTCTTCCTCAAAATCTCCAGGAACTAGCCACAGTAAAAAGCACAGATTTCCTCTTCCCTAAAATGCTAACGATTTTGATGCTGATGTCAATGGTGTAACCCCAGGAGACAGAGGGGTGGTGAGGTACTGGAACAGGTTGCCCAGAGAAGTTGTAGATGCCCCATCCTTGGAAGTGTTCAAGGCCAGGTTGGATAAGGCTTTGAGCAACCTGGTGTAGTGGAGGGTTTCCCTGCCCATGGCAGGGGGGTTGGAACTAGATGATCTTTGAGGTCCCTTCCAACTCTAACCATTCTGTGATTCTAGGATTCTATGATTCTATATCTTTTGTTCCATGATAGTTAATCATTTTGAGGCTTGACCAAATAACAACTTGTTAACTTCTGTTGGTTCAAAACACAATAGACTGAGCTGAGACAACTTTTGACAGGTAATTGATATGGTTTAGTATCTTTGGAATTCACCACATTTGGAGCTAAAGAGTTAATGATAGAATTGAGGCCAGGTTTGTTTTCCTGTTTCAAGAATTGACAAACTACCTAAGGGATGCTATAGTCATTTTGCTACTCTGCATGCCTTCAGCTATCAGACTTATTCCATTGCATGTGAATATTTAGTGAGAAAACAATATGGAGAGCTATGATCAATTGCATATGTAGTAGAAAATGGAGTCTAGTTTCTTGGGATGAAGATACTAATTGAACACACTGCATGGCCTCCGTTGCAATACAGTGACATTTGAAAATAATGAAAGCCTGTTATTCCTTGCTGTATAACTATATTTTATTTGTCCAGGGGAAAAGTGCTGCTGGCAGTATTGTCTTAGGGGGATCAAGAATGGAAAGCATGCTGCAGTCTCTTTATTTGGAGAACAGAGCAGGCTACTACTTCACACACTTCTGTGAGAAGTCAGGGAATAAGGTATGAGCATTTTCCTACCCTGTGATAATTTAGTCCACAATTGACTGAATGCCAAGTTATAGAGGGCAGCCAGACTGAAAAGAAAAAAAAATGGAGAAAGAAAGATTGATGACTGGATGAATTATTACTTGTGAGACTCCGATCCCTCAGCAACAATAAACTGTTCATGTGTATATTCAAACTAATGACAGGTCTTAACCAAGCTGTCAGATCCTAACTGTCTCAAACCTATTGGAAATCTGATTGTACCATCAGGGATAAAAAAAGACTAATCACTTTTAAAAACTAGCCTTTAACTTGGCAGAAAAAATGAGGTCTTAACCCACAAAAACATTTTTCAAAAAGATGGAAAATCCACTGTGCTATTACTCATGATAATCTGCCTCCTTCTTACTTGTTGGGTTAGTGATGTCCAAAATCTCCAGTGTTTTAAAAACGTTCTCCTGCTTCCACGAAGCTTCTTGGATTTCTGAGAAACATAACACTATTTCTTCTTTGCAGTCAGCAGATCCATCATTCATTGCTGGGTGTAAATTGAGGATTGGTTGGAACAAGTTATGAAACTGAGTCAGTGTTTAGTGGCTATGCAGAAAAATTGAGTCTTTAGGGGAGATTTGAATGCAATCAAGATGGACATCTGTTTCACTGCTGGCGCAACCCAGAATCCAGCAGCAGTAGCTAGAAATGCCTTTGGCTACCAGAAGGCAAGAGCCCGTGTTTCCAAAGCTGAATACCTTCAGCTAAAAATTTTAAATGTGCATAGATTGAAATCTAAATAAAAGTAACTTATTTTTTCATCGGAGATTGGCACCCACCCACATGTTCTCTAACCTTTGCAGGTGCCAGACACTTTTGAAAATTATTTCCTTAAGGTTTTCTCCACAACTGTGGAGCCTATTTCACTCATACGCCAGGTCCGGCAGGCTACAGTTTGTGGAGCAAAGTTCCCTGCCCCTATCTTCTTGGAACGTTCTCTTTAATGTCCAATGATGGGGGCTTCAGAGTATTTTTAAGATTCAAACCCCATAAGCACATGATTAAAACAGAGGATTTGGGGAAAGATCTAGACTCCTTCTTCTGAAAGATCTTTCGATGTTTGTTCGAATTTATGAAATGAGGCCAAGACTGTGCTTCAGAAATGCATGTAATAAAAATGTAATGATAGTCCCAGCAACATATGTCAAGTACACAATATTTAATTGTTTTGATTATTGCTGCACAATGCTATTTCACCATCACACAAATTCTGCATGTCCATTATCAGCATTTCTTCTTTAGTGCTGGCTTTATGCCACTGAAATGCGGTTACTCTTCAAATGTTAACTGCAATGTTAACAATTTTAATGGCCAATTATGCATAAAGGATACAATAAAAGATATAGTATCACAGTGATGATTCCATTAAATATGTTGTAGTCCTGCCAGTGTGCAACAGAAGATTAAATCCATCTGAAATTGAGCTTGATTTATGATGACCTCAAGGAGTTAAATAATTACTTGCATTGGAAATTCAACCTTTTATAAAGCTGTGATATTTGGGTAGCAATAACTTAGATTATTTTTCATCTCTAGTTGTGGAAGAACTGTGCGTACTTTTGGTTTGACCTAGAGGCTTATCGTCAGCTTTTCTACCAAGAAACTCTTCATCCTTTTAAAATATGCAAGCAAGCTCAAGTAAGTTGTAAACAATGTGTTTTACCTTCACAAAGACATTTGTTCAGTGTAAAGACTGAAAAGAAGATAAAAAGTAGAAAAGTTTCCCAATCTTGACAACCCACACCAAAGTAAATCTGGGTTGTGGGCAATAAAAAAAAGCTCCTTGGACTGTTTCCATGGAATTTCTTGATTTAAATGTTAAACGTGCATAGTTTGATTTCTAGGCTCTGCTGCATGTTCCCAGTTTTATCTATTATACTTAGTTTACCTAATCTCCCCTTTGCTACTCTGTGTCATATTTGGAAACTCTCTGCTTAGTGTTAACATCAGAGATAACATTTTTTCTAAATAATCTCATTGTGCTGTACCTTTCTTTCCATCTCCTGTGTGGGTTAGAACTGCAGGTCTCACAGTCCAGACCTCAGAGAACGACCTTAGTCATGAAAATGGATCTTTCAGTTGTCAGTCCTGTTTTTCTGATTGTCAGAGCATCATTATGCTCTTTTCACAATCATCATCCCTCCATTTGATCTTTAAATCCTCATTTACTGTCAAGCAGAACTGATACTTCCTATAAACGAGCATTCTTAATTGAGCACGCACTTTAAGTCAAGGAATAAACCAAAAATGAACTGGTTCACCACATGGGTGCTGACGGCTGTCATCGACTGCAGAATGGTCCGATAGTGCCAGGGAAGGAGGCTGCAGCAGTGTGATATCACTAGAAGGACTCCAAGCAGCTTTTAAAATCACTTTGTGAAACTTCGATCTGCTTGTCCTCTGTGAACCTTGTGTAAGAGTATATCCTATCTGCATATTTCAATACGTGCTGTAATAGAGCAAAGCTACTTCACGTGTCTTTGGAACAAATATCTGCAGAGAGCAGTGGGGAACAATCTGTTTCTATGGCTTAGATTACTGAGCATCTGGACTTCCTTGAATTCGTCTTCTTTTCCTACTTGGAGCTTTTACTGGGGCAAATGACAGAATTTTGCATGTTTGTCCAGAATTCTCATCTGAATCAGTGTTATTTGTACAGAAACTCCAATCAGAGGCCAAGGCACGGATTCCTTCCTCTCTCCTGTCACACACTGGCTAACTTGAACTGATACCCTATTCAGTTGTTTTCCCTTCCAGCCCTATTTATTGCCTGAGGCTGAGGGCAACTGCCTGTACCCCTAAGACTGACAGTCTCCTGATTCTGCCCAGGCCTGTGTGTGTCTAGGGACTCTGCTCACAGCAGGCGTGCAAGTTAACCATGTCTAGACTGAGCCTTCATTTTCCTACGTTTTGGTGCAGGTCAAGTCTCAGGTTGTGATCCATGATGGTTTTCAATTTGGTTTCATTTCGCACCAGCTTATAGTCTTTCTGCAGTGGCTGAGAATTAAGACCCAGGTCTTTTTTACTTTTCTTATCTTATTTCCAGTGCTGGCCTGGTGGTGACAGCAGAACATCGTACAATCAGTGTTACCAGGCAATTGCAGAGAGCTACGTACACATAGCCATTAAAGTAAATACATCAAAACGAAATATGTGAAACTGTTCCATTAGCATAACTAACAGCTGAAATGTAACATAACAAATCAACACATGTGCTGCAACATTTGGTATCATTCTCAAGCTTGCCTTTTAAGGCTGCACAAAAATTATTCTTGTTTTCATTGGAACACGGG